GACCGAAGGAGAAGCTATGGCCTATGTTATTACTGTGGAGAAAAAGGGCACTTCATCACGCTTTGTCCTGTTCGCCCTCCTAGACCTCCAGCTCTCCGACTTGGTACTAGTTTCCTTCGCCCTGTGTACACCGCATACCAGCCTAAAAAGCCAAATAGAAGCCGTTGTGCTTGCACATGCTTGGCTTCCGCGAGAAAACCTCCATCCCCTGCTCCAGAGCCTCCTGCATCTACTCCCGAAGTTGCTTCCTGTGATACCACCACTACTTCCTGCCCGCCCGAAGAGGTTTTACCTGTGGATTGTGCCGTTGCTTCTAATGGCACTATAGTCCGTAAAGAAAACCTTGAAATGTTCGAAAAAGCATTGTTAGCTGCGAACACTGCTCCTGCCAAAGTTTTGGAAGTGCTTGCCACCTGTACCCGGAACCTAAAAGACCTGGACAATTCTCCAGCCGTACCAGAAGCTGGTACTGCGGACTCCCAAGCTGTAAAGGGAATCCTTGCTGGGGAGTTTGACTATGGGGACTCACTGGATTCAGATAGTGACCCTGGAGAGGTGTACTATGCTGACAGTGAACCTATTTACGCCCGGAGGTCGTTTTTAAAGGGGGGGTACTGTCACGGTTCTCACCTGATAGACAGACGGCAAGACGTGGTCCCCAACAGGGGACTTGAACCGGGGATCTTCTCAGTCCTGGTCCTGCTTTCTACCTCTGAGCCACAGCAGCTATTTACAGTGAAGACTGATTCCAGTCCTGTTCATCCTGACATGGCTACTACTCTGGGGGCTGCACCTTGACTTGGCTGTGTTTCACCTGACTCTGATCAGTCATCAGCAGGGTATATAAACCCAGCCTCGCCCTGTGCTCAGTGTCAAGTCCTTGATCCTGTTTGTTCCAGTGTTCCTGTTTCATCGCTTCGCATTATTGACCCCGGCTTCCTGACTCGTTTATTCTGACTTCTGGCATCCCTTGACTTCGGCTACTCCTCGTTGTTCCTGTCCTCTGGCATCCTTTGACCTCGGCTATCCCTCGACCATCCTGCTGGTTCAGTCCTTGCCTGTCCTGCGTATTGGTACTGCATCCTGCACAGCCCCCGTGCACAGACCCACAGGCCAGGTGAATTCTTACCTGACCACCTCGGCCTGTGGCTATCTGCAAGGGTGAGCATCATATCTGCGCTACAGACTCCCAACTCAGGTAAGACCCTGACAGGAGGATACTTCCATTAACAAGTAGCTTCACTAAGATACCTAGAGATTGAGAGAAACAATTATTCCTTGTTTGGGTATGTTTCTTTATACAAAATGTAAATCTTGGCAGGGATCTGTACATCAGTTTCATTTTAATTATTTGTATATGTTTTTTGATTCAATATCAGCCTGATTTAATCTTTATTTCTGGACATTTGTTCAGTCGGGGTATTTTTATGAAGTTACGATTGATACATGCATCCAGATTTACACATAAAGCAGGGGAGGTTTGACAGCTTTTGGCCTGGCAACAAAACTATATGAAGTTGCAAACAGTACTATCATATATGCCTGCAACGCCCATCAATGTGACCTGCACAGTGTAAAGGAGTATCCACAGAGATCTGCGCAGGCCTATTAGATGAAGATAGTGTTTTCCACTGACTGCTTTGCCACTATTGATAATGTACACGTATGGTCTCTGTCTTATTACACCCTGAGATTACTGGCACACTCCTCCAGCGACATCATACATACTCATTGTAGTCTGGCAGCCTGGTCATCCTCTCATGCCACAGTGCCCAGAGAAATATCTCAGTAGATTAGTCCACATCTGTATGAGCCACCAGCCCAAGGACAAACCCACACAGTGCTTGGTTAGCAAAGACCCTGCTCAATTTTCCTGATGTCTTGTGCAAACAGACATCCCGGAATACCTCCTGCTGTTTTAATTTTCAGTGGGGGCATGAGGGAGGTTTAAAACCTCCTTGGTTGAAAAACCCCCTTGTACTAATGTGGGGGTCATGATGATTAGAACAGGTAGCTCAGATTTAATTTCAAAATATAAAATGATTCTCCAAGTCTATTGTGTAGTATACTTAAAGCATTGAGTTTTGTGATAAGAATTCAGGTAAAGTTTTTATACAAATCATGGTTGTGCAAACATGTCTATACAGTGGGATGATGCTCAATATTTCACTGCATTGTCATAAAACCTTAGAGTTCTTTTGCATTGATATCGAAATTCAGTTTTTTCTACCTTGATTAGTCCATGAGCAGTTCTATTGGATATTCAAGTTTTTAATAACCGTGAAAACTACAAAAAGTGAAGACACATTTATATATATTTTCAGAACGTTTGTAAAAGTCAATTGCCCATGCTTTGTTAGAGTCAATTATCTATATTATCTGGCCCTTAGTAGTTGAGAAGCCCATGTACATTGATTGCCAACATAACACAGGTCACAAAACCTTAACACAGCCTTAAAGGGACACTCCAGGCACCCAGACCACTTCTGCCCATTGGAGTGATCTGGGTGCCAACTTCCACTACCCTTAACCCTGCAAGTGTAATTATTGCAGTTTTCATAAACTGCAATATTTACCTTGCAGGGTTAACTCCTCCTCTAGTTCCTCTATGTGAGGAACTGCAGCGTCGCTGAAATCCCCATAGGAAAGCATTGAAAGCATTTTTCGAAGCTTTCTTATGGGGAATTCTAATGCTCGTGCGTGGCATTGCCCCGCCAGCGGCCGCGCATGCTTAATAGGTCTCCCCCGCCAGATGATGTCGGCGGGGGAGGAGCGTGGGCGGACCCTGAACCAGTGCCGAGGCACATCGACGCTGGATACAGGTAAGTCACTGAAGGGGTTTTAACCCCTTCAGCAACTTGGGATGGGGGTGGGAGGGAGAGGGGACCTGCAGTGCCAGGAAAACTGTTTAAGCTGCATGCACTAGATTATGATCAAGGCTTAAAGAGTCCACTAAGCAGGCAACTAATGTTGTTAGAAAAAAAGAAAATCACTAGTGGATCAATTTAAAAGGGCGGATTAAACTTTGCCCAAGCTACATTTACTGCATTATTATTTTCAGTTAAAATGACTGTGCATTAAAAATTTTCAGAAGTATGGTGAGAAGACACATGCATACACACATGTACACCCATACACAAGTGGTAATTGAGCCCATATGAGTGAGGAATGTGCTCTGCTGCCTGTGAGACTGGGAACTGCTTGCTTTCCTTATTGTATACCTCTCCACCCCTCCTCCTGCTGCCTCTCCTCTCCCTGTCACTCTGAATGCACTGTGTTGAGTGTATTTGTCTCTGCTAATGGAGCATGCTGAGCCTGCTTGCCTTCCCAGCACTCCATGGGTTAATCGGTAAATCATTCAAAATCTGCACTAAAAAAAAAGCCAGCACTGCTCAGAATGTAAAGATTTTTAGGATGGAGAGAAGTGCAATCAGTGATGATTGGGGACAAGTTAAATATTAATCGGTGAAGACAGAGGTAAAGGTAAAATATATTGCTTTCCTAAATGCTTTACGATTAACAGTAAAGTCATGTTCTTTAGCTTTCAAAATCCTTACTTCCCTGAATTGTACACTATTTTTCTGGCTATTAACGCCTTCTCAGTAATGACTCCCTCTTACTTTATCATCTTATTAACCCTCTTCTCATATTAACATTTTGTTAACCACCTTGACATCTTATTGACTATGTCTCTACCTGATTTTCCTATTAACTCTGTCACCATTAGCACTTACGTTTAAAAGAACTCTAACACTCTAACACACGTACTCTATAAAATATTATATAATATAAATGTTAACTGAGAGCCATATATTATGTTAAAATAACACATACTGGCAAGTCAGGGTTCTAAAAACAATTATAAACTATTTGAACTTTGGTCTTGTGTTCTGTTATGATAGAACCCCCCCTATAGTTTCAAGATTGTGCACTACTTTGATCTCACCTCTTGTATCTGAGTCCCAGCTGAAATTAATATTTTTTTTCATATTAACCCTCTCAGCCCTGGAATTAGTGAAAGGGCTAAAACACATAGGAAATTAAATACTTTAGATCTAAGTAAAGATCTGAAAAAATATCAGAAGCAAATAGTTTACTGCTTACTTAATATAAAGCATTTTTTTTTTTTTTTTTTAAGTGCTGGGGAAATGAACTGATTTCTTGTTCTGTATGAGCCAAGGTAAAAGATTTTTATTTGCACAGGCTGGGAAGATGGGTGTATTGATTTAATTCTGTCATGACGTCCATTAGCATGCTTCCTCACATAGTGTGTGCTCTTTAGCTGCAGCTACGGTAACACATCTCTATGGGTAGCAGACTTTAGCACAACATGGGAAAAGAAGAAAGCAACAACCGCTCCTTTAAATGACAGATGTGCATTGTACAATAGTTCCTAAAGCCCAGCCCGCAGTGAAGAATGACGTCAGCACAGTTTCCTTACACTGGCAGAGGCTGCAGCTGCTGTCCTGTTCCCGGTGCTGATAGTTGCTCAGTTGAGCGTCTGATTTTTTGAAGCTCCTGCTTGTTAATGCAAATGAAAAAAAAAGTCAAGTTCAACATTCCAGCAACCACAGCGTGACTTTTTTCTTCTTCTTCTCCCTCTAACAAAACAATACTTTTTGTCTGTTCTCGTACTATTCTTTATTCATTCTTTATTCTGTTTTTTTTTTTCCATGTGGAGACATGGCTATGAAAGAGACCATTCTTCCCATAAGCGAGATGTCCTTTCCCTTTCCAGATGTGGTGGAACTGAATGTAGGAGGACAAGTCTACATGACCAAACATTCCACTCTAACCAGCATTCCAGAGAGCACCTTGCACAGCATGTTTTCCAGGAACAATGTGAAAGATCTACCCAGGGACAACAGATCTAGGTTCTTTATTGACCGAGATGGATTCCTCTTTAGGTATGTTCTGGACTATCTGAGAGACAAGCAGTTGTCCCTACCAGATCACTTTCCTGAAAAAGAAAGGCTGTTAAGAGAGGCTGAATATTTCCAGCTGACCGACCTGGTGAAGATGCTCTCACCAAAGGTGACCAAACAAAGCTCTATGAATGATGAAGGCTGCCAGAGTGATATAGAAGAAAATTCCCAGAGCAGTGACCTGATTAGGACTGCAGCTCTAGATAAGAAATCTGGTTTCATCACCATAGGTTACAGGGGCTCCTACACAATGGTCAGAGATAACCAAGCTGATGCCAAATTCAGGAGAGTTGCCAGGATTATGGTTTGTGGTCGGATAGCGTTAGCCAAAGAAGTTTTTGGAGAAACTTTAAATGAAAGCAGAGACCCTGATCGTCCTCCAGAAAAGTACACCTCTAGATTTTACCTGAAGTTCACCTATCTAGAGCAGGCTTTTGATAGGCTCTCTGAAGCTGGATTCCACATGGTGGCTTGCAATTCAACTGGGACAGCTGCATTCGTTAATCAGTACAGGGATGACAAGATCTGGAGCAGTTACACTGAGTACATCTTTTTCAGTAAGTCGCCTCTCTAATTCCACATCTGTCTGGATTTGGGTAAATGAGAAATGTTCCAAAATGTATTAAGATTTCATAACATTTACATGATCTCATGCATACACATCACAGTACTACTGTATATTAATTTATGTGTGGTGGGTTGAATGAATATGTGTATATTTGTATATATGTTTTATATATAGCTCAAATTATAATATGTATATTTACTGCTTTCTGCTTAGAAGACAAATAATAAAAGTGCATTGTATATTTTGTTTGAATCTAATTATTTGATCAAGTGCAAGGCTTGCTTTGTAATGCATATGTACTCACTGTTATCCATTGCCCTTCTTGTACATCAGACCAACCATGACCAACAAATTAGTTCCAAAGACAGTCATATTGTTCAGCCAGTAAGATATAGTTTAATATGTTATTAATACCGTAATAGACTCAATTTACTTGTATACTGGTTGAGCATCATGGGCAATGTTGTCCTGAATACTTGCAGTGCCTGCGGTTAGCTGCCACCTCTGCTCTGTTAGATAATCCCACGTTATAAATACTTATTCACTAAACAGCAATTTATGGCTATGAAGTTGTAAAATGTAGATCTGAGGAATTAGTTACGAAAAAAAAAAAGAAAAATAAATATCAATCGATCTAAATTTTATATGCCAGATCCCAAGTCTAAACAAATTGTTCTTTGATGATTAAATTAAATTCTAACACTCTAATTAAAGTATATTTATAAACCTATATAAGTAGCCAGCTTACTTTATTTCATGTACAAAAGAAACTATATGAATCAAAGTATTGACAATGAACACTTTTGCTTTCTAATTACAACCGATCATTAACCCCTTAAGGACACATGACATGTGTGACATGTCCTGATTCCCTTTTATTCCAGAAGTTTGGTCCTTAAGGGGTTAAACCATCACCAGCAATGCCCTATTACCCTCCCTCTTTAATAACACACGTGTAGGACACAAGTGTGGTACTAAAAGGCATCTTTCATTAGAAAAAAAAGCTTTAAAACCTGGGTACCCAAAAGGTAGATCCCCAGATGTTTTAAAACTACAGCTTCCATGATCCTTTGTCATTCTGAAGTCATTCCAAATGCATGCAAAGCTTTATGGGAGCTGTAGTTCTACAACATATGGGGACCTATCTTTTGGGCACCCTGTCTTACAAGCTACTTAGTAAGTGGAACATTTATTAGATGCTTTGATGTTTGGTATATCTTAACATCTTAACCGTTTTATGACAATTATATTGCTGTCTTTGCACATTTTTTTTCATTGTATATTAGCTAGTTAATGTTACTTGCATCACGCAGGAATCAGACTAGGGATTGGTGCCAAACCAAACCTTTTAAACTCTCACTAAGTGTAGAACAACAATGGTCCCAAAGTAATTAAGTTTAATGGTAACTCAGCTGGAAGGGGATAAGGGAAATACTTCTGAGGAATTTTCCGTCTGAGTCCATAGTTGCCTTGAAAGATTTTAATGTGATTCTATGCTTACTGTGAAGGCTTTGACTGAAGTAATCATTTTGTTGGGTATTTGGCAGTGATGTCTTTTTCTATGTTCACAGTTTATATTAGAAGGGGAATGTGGCAGTCAACAATTTGCATCTGTGGCTTAAAGTAGCAATTACAGACATAATGCTCTAAAGGAAGAGTCAGATGGGAGATGCTTAGGAATTATATGCATGGGGCTGTTAGCCTTGCTATTTACAAAAAACGACTAAAAGCTGACCGAGGATGTATCTGAATCTCAGTTCATATCGGTAAACATACTATAGAAGATGTATGATGCATCTAATGTACATATGTAAATAAATACATGTAAATCTCTTTATAGAAAGAAGCCCCTTATTGTGCAAAAATAATAATAAAATAAAATATTTTTTGGAGATATCATAATAATCCACGTGACAAAGGTTGAATGGCTTTAAACTACCAAGCAGTGGAGGCTGGTCCATAAAGACAGGTAGGGCAGTGTCCGTTCACCCCAGTTTTTCTTGCCAATTTTTTTTTAAAATTGGCATTGTAAGAAATACTGATATATGTGTGTTAGAAAAACATGTGTCTATCATCGTGATTCGATCTGCAGTTTCCATTCTCCCCTTTATTGATGAATGGAGATGCAGCTGGTTTTTAACAGGGCATCTCACGTGGGTTAAGTGGGTGGAAGCCAACAAGCCAGAGGGCATAGCAACCCACTATCTTTAAACTTCACCAGCCGCCACTGATACCACCAATATTGAGATGGTATTATTACACTTAATACAAGTGTAACCATTATTTACCTTTTTATAATACATGATTTGTAAAGTTATGGCTAAGTCTTAGTTTAGGATAGTCTTCCCATAATCCTTAATTAGTGTCCAGGTCTACCCGATATTGGGTGGTGTTAATCTCCTAAGAAGCAACAGTTGCAGCTGCCACCATTAATTCAGCTATACTGCTGACATGCCAGGAGAGGAGCTGGCGAGATTCTGTTGTGTGTCTCTCACCAAAATGGCAGTAGCTGTAACTAGTAGCTGCTGTCTGGGAGTGACATGCCAACGAGTAAAGGAAGCATAACCCTTTCCTAAGCAATAGAAAGACACATAATGAAATAACCTTTAATGGAAAGTAATGCTACCTACTTCTAGATATCACTCAACCTTTGGTAATGTGACACCCACCAATTTCATGCTCCATTATTTTCAAGAGTCAAACCATGTGTTGAAGACATGCCACATCGCTTCACCCAGCATGCAGTACAGTACAAACATAATCCATCCGTGACATTTCTATGTTCTGTAGGCATCATGATAAACCACAAAACAAAATGTCAAGTGTAATATAAATGTCTTCAGAAACCTTAATACACAGTTCCCTTCATTATGTATTTTTATAGTAAATGTTATATAGCATCCTATAGTATATAGAACCATGTTAGCAGTATGGCTATGGCTAAGACTGTGGTTAATGTATGGGTGAATGTAGATTAGGGGTTTAAGGTTAGAGGTAGTGTTAGTGATAGGGACATATAAGTCTTAAGTGCTAGGATCAGGGTAGTGTAGGCCATAGGTTTAGTGCTAGTATAAGTGTTAGGGTAGTGTAGGGGATAATGTTTAGTGTTAAAATGGCTAGTGTTTGCAGTGTATGGGTTATTGGTTACTGTTAGTGTAGTGTAGAGGTTATTTTTGGAAGACTTGTGCACAGTGATAAAATTTGGCTTGGCTGAGCTATTTTTCACAAAAACAGAACATTTTTCAGGAATCTTGAATTTCAGCTAAATGTTGATTAGTTTGGTATGGGAAGTGGATTATTATATGGTGCATACATTATAAAAGTACATTGATTGAGCATTTTGCCAACATCTAATTCACAGATCAAGTGAGAAAAGCTAAGCAATAGAGGGGAAAACTGTGAGTGCAGTAAAACAAAATCTATATAAATTAAATACATAAATATAGATTTATTTTTACTGCTCCTCCTTTTTTTTCTATCTATTACTCACTTCTAACTTGATAAGTCAATACAATCAACATTTAGTAACTGTCCCACAACAATCAATTACCTTTTTTTCCCCCATCAATCGTATCTTTTTTTTGGCGCCATGGGCTTAATTTAGAATTATGATCAAAAAACGACATAGTCAGTCATTGCACGGTTCACTTGGTTCAGGATTCAGGCACATTTCAGCTCACAGTTCAGGAATTCGATCACCCGATTGCAATTCGGGCAGAAACATAGCTTTATATCTATTGGCTTATTGTAGAGGTTAATGGTTTAAGTAGAGTAGTGTAGAGGTTAAGGGGAGGTCTTTATGGTTAGAGCAGCACTGGAATATAAATATTCAGTGCAGCCTGATTTTAGTGAAAGTTATACTACTGGATTCTGTTATTTCAGTTACATCATAATAATAGCTGCCTCTTGGGAGTTGAATTACTATTGTTGGGCATATCAAAACGTATGTCGAAGTATTTCTTTAGGTTATTTCCACTGCATGGGGGGTGAAAGGTTTGAACCACAGAACTGCATGGGGGGTGAAAGGTTTGAACCAGAGAACTGCATGTGGGGTGAGAGGTTAGAACCACAGAACTGCATGGGGGGTGAGAGGTTAGAACCACAGAACTGCATGGGGGGTGAGAGGTTAGAACCACAGAACTGCATGGGGGGTGAGAGGTTAGAACCATAGAACTGCATGGGGGTGAACTTTGCACATGGGGAATAATTGCATGGGGGACATCACCATCCTAGTAGTACAGGGTTCCAAACATAATCTTCCCATTCAAATTATCTATCTATCTATCTATCTTCTTATCTATTTATCTACCTATCTATCTATATATCTGTCTGTCTGTCTGTCTTTTTATGCAATCAGCACCATACTTTTAGACACCTCCTAAAAGGGCTGAATAAATAACATTTTTAGAGGAATGATGGATTCCTATATTTACTTGCTGTAAATCATGTGTCTGGCTCAAGGGTAACTACTCTGATTTTAGCATTTGAACATTAACCTCTCAACAAAAAACAGTATGGATTTTAGTAAATAGAATATATGCCTATAGGGCCATCATCACCTCTGCTTCCTGTATGCTTAAAATGTGTTTGTCCACAAAAATCATATTTTT